GAGATGCTAGATACACTGCTGGCCTTTCTCTTCAATGTTCCTTCTTGGCAGATAGTAAGCAGAGAGCTGGGAAGAATTGATCTGAAATCATTAAACGATCGTCGTCTAATTCCTTCAAGCTCTTCTGGAACTCTAAGGGAATGTGGGGGAATTTTAGGGAAAAGCTTTGAAAGAAGAGCCTCTTCTGAATTGCTGTAGCGACCAAAGGCTCGAGAAATTCCTATCAGGCAGGGCACTGCATACTTGCATAAATATTCTGGAAAAGAAAAACAGACATAGCGCTACCTTAGCAGTAACTTAAAACTTCCCCTCCATTGGTGGCAAATTTTTGCTACCAATTCATCAAAGAGTAGTTCAGAAAAATGAGTTTCACAGAGCTATTTGTGCAAACAGGATAAAAGCCCAAAGGCATCATAAACTAATACACTCCTAGCTTCAATATTTACTAGTCAATAACAATAAAATATTCATTAAGTCTTGGTCGAAGTAATAAGCTTTTCACTTCTCAGCAATAATTCTGACATTTAGAAAACACAAGAAACATTCAGAGGGCAGATGTTAAAGATGCAGTAAAAATATGAAGAGTTATTTTAGCAGTACCTTTATCATGCATTTGAGGGGTCTGGCACATTCCCAACAGAAACTGCATTACTTGCAGAACTGCATCCAAAATCTAAAACATTCAAGACAGAGGTAAAACATACTTTGKTAAAGATTTATTATTGTTTCATATTAGCTCATTAGAATTACCCAAATGAAACTTGCAAATAATAATTTAATGATCTCTTCAAACAGATTTTTTTTTCATACTAGGTATTTAAACAACATACTGCTCTCATTCTTAACAGAGCTGAAGACTATTTACACTAAGTTAACTGATACATTAGCAGAATGAAAGTGCAGAGTCCTAGCTTTAATATCAAAACTTGAATTTTAAAACACTGGGCTCAGTGATTAACAGTCTTTAACTCTCACAAGCAAAAGCAGGTTTAGGAATTCTTCTAAGTACCTGACCTACTTGTGTTAAGTAACACAAATAAAGTTATGCAAAAAGATACAAACTCTTGCAAGAAAATGTAGATGTGGTACCCAATTCTCCAGAGATTTGTCAGTCTTGCAACATTAAAGAACTGGATACAATATCAATCCAAATCTAGAGCAACCTTTACCTGCTCCCTAAGAGATGCATCTCTGTAAGCTACGTCTGACAACAACGTCACCAAGCAGAAGCTGAAGTTTTCTGCAACTGGAAGCAAGCCTGTAAAATAAAAAATGGAAAATTAGCCATCTTAAACACTGAGAGAACCAACATATAAAGAGTAAATAATAATATAACAAAATTACATAATGAGATGTTAAAGGAATATTTCAAACTGTTAAGAAAGCTTTTCAGGCTTTCAACTAATTTTCAAAAAAATACTAAACTAATTAAATTGTATAATATCCCATTTGATACAAGAAGTACTCTTACATTCATTTTAAGAGATCTTAAGAGAACATGGAATTAAGKGGCTCCAGGAAAAACTAAGTATCAAAACTTAAATCAGACCATTAAAATCTCAGGTTCTGCTCTCCTGCTTTAACTATAYAATCTTCTTCATTCTAGCACTAAAATGTAGCAAGTGCTTAATTGCTTRGAAAGCACGTCCTTTGTGCTTTATCACAAAGCAGTCAAACAATAAATCTGAGGGCTATCAACATTCCTGTCTAGTTACTAAAAAAAACTTTAAATGCAGTCAAGAGCTAAGGACATAAAATCGACCACCTCCTCTTGCACTGTGTCCTGAATAACCCCCATTATTTCCATTTACTTGCTAGTATTCCATGAGAAAAATAGGAAAAAAAAATTTAAAAAAAAAAAAAAAAAAAAAAAAGGCTCGCATTACCTTTGCCTTTCCGTGCATTGCTTTCTTCTATCCACTGGACTTTGGGAAGACCTTTCAGAAGTCGAAGGAGGTAAGGGACCACGTTATCTTTGTGCTGAAGAGTAAAATATTTTATTTAAAATAGAAAAGTAGAACAATATTATCACAAGGTATATTAACAGCCAGGTTCATGTTTGCCGTGAGCCCCTATAATCCTCTTAAAAATAATTTAACCTTTCCTTTCCATTCTTAATAAGCTCTACTTTGCTATGATGTTCACAAAAAAAAGTGACAGCAGTTTGATTGTGACAATGCCATGGCCACCGTTTAACACAATTCTCAGCATTGTTCTTACTTGTGTTCTCCTGCCTGTAACCATCTGTTATCTCTGACCCTATCAGTAATCAACTCTTCAGAGCATGGATACTTGTATATGCACAACGCATTCATGATTTACACTACAGTAATTCAACTGTATAGAAAACACCAACTTGTCATTCACTGAGTAACTATATTTGAATTATTCCAAAACCTTTCTGTTATTATATACAATTAAAATGAGGCAGGGAAAATAATACCTGAAGATCAGATTCAATTAGAAAGATTCCCAACGCAATTACAGCATCTCTACGGCGTTCATCYAACTGGAAAATCCCATGGAAATCCACCGGGCACATACAGAGGAGTTTTTGTACCTGGAAAACAGTGGAGGGAAAGGCCAAGAGAATAAGATGAAAAATGCAAAAAATATATAGACATATATCTTTCAAATATCCAAAGTAGACATTGAAGAGAGCAATGCAAACAGCCCCCAGTTTTTCATACATGCAACAGAGAGCTGGCCATCACATCCATTCCTGAGAGATGCCAAGTAATAGCCCCGGGGAATGCTAAGGCAATTGCAAATATTTTYATAGCAGCAAACAAGTTGACAAACTGAAATTTTCAGAAAGACTCATTTAGACTTTCTGTAGCTGAAATGGATTGCTGCATTTCCCTTTTCTGAAGAGAACCAGGTGGCCATATTAGTCCTCATTTAGTCATCAGTGTTTTAATGAAATCATCTGCTGGCTAGGAAAGAGTGAAGAATGACAGATATCAGGAAAAGATTCACAAGGCATTTTGGATGGGCAAGAAATATGCAACAGGCACTTGTGTGGTATTTACTCAATCTTGTAAGCAAGAAGTGGGTGGATGGAGCTTTTGTTACAATTGCACCACTCTTTCTTCATACGCAGCACTCAAAAATAAATGCAAAAGTCTGAGCAAAAGTCACATTTAGGGAGCAAACCCTTTAAACAGAGTAGACGAAGTTTCTAAAACTAGCATTTTCCCCACTACTTACCTATTACTTCATTCCATATCCAGCTAAAACTCAACTAAAGAATACACCTAATCTCTCAGATACGTACAGAAGAGTAAAAGGTGTAAATACCACAAGCTTAAAGACTTTCCATAGATCTCCTTCACAGTAATAAACACTACCAAGAAGGGACTGTCCAAATAGACACTTTTGTTGAACATCAAGTCCTTTCCTATTTAGATAATTAATTTTATRCACCTTTAATTGAAATTTCTGCACCAAGAAAATGCTTTCCTAGAGGCTCAGAACTTACTGGGAACACAGGGCAAGCTCAAATCCTGATCTGCATTTACAAAACCTGTAATGCAGAGTGAATAATCCTCTTGCTCAACATAAAGCACAGCAAAAGAAATACAAACTTTAAATGTATATACTCCACATCAGGTTTGTCTTTTTYTGAAAAACACGAGTAGATACCTTAACATGATGTAGGGGTTAACAGAATTTAGCTCCTAGCAGAGATCCTTGAAAATGACAGAATCACYGGATGCTGCTGAAGCTACAGGGAGACGTGTAAGAATTATTTACACTCAGCTGTCAGATTAGTGGCAAATTTCCAGAACAAAAACTAGGAGAAAATTCTGAAACAGGTGGTCCAAACCAAGGTCCAAACCACAGCGTGAGCACAGGGCTGCGCCCTTCGAGATTTTCATCACCTTAATTCGGGAACCTCTGGGGCAATTCGGGAACCTCTGGGGCAATTCGGGAACCTCTGGGGCAATTCGGGAACCTCTGGGGCCCGCACAGAGCAGCCACGAGAGGGGCTGCGGCTCCTCTGCCCTCCCGCACGGCCTGGGCCGCGCCGCTGTCCTGCTCTGCCTGTGTTAAAACCCGCCCGTTGGGGCTCGCACGAGAGGCCCCGCGCCTGGACACGCAGCCAGCCCCCCGCGCGGCCGCCCCCAGGCCCCACAGCGACCACTCGGGGGGTCCCGCGCACGACACCGTCACTCAGGGCCACAACCCCCGGCCGGGGCGGTCACCCCACAGCGCGACACGACACCCCGCGAGGGGAAGGCTGCTGTCGCCTCACCCAACGCCCGCGGGGCCTCCTCTCCCTCCCTCCTTCCCTCCCACGCGCGGCGGCCTCCCCGCCCACGCAGCCGCCGCCCCGCGCGCGGCGCCCGCCCGCCCTCCCCGCAGCCCCGGCACGCGCGGCAGCCCCCGGCCCCCTCACCTTCTCCAGCGGCGCCGGGCTCTGTCCCGCCAGCGAGCGCGCCAGCGACAGCACCGTGTTGAAGTAGAAGCCACGCGCGGGGCCCGCGCCGCTCCTGCGCTCCGCGCTCGGGCCCGCGGCGGGRGSGGCCGCCGTGGCCGTGGCCGTGGCCGCCGCGGCCGCCGTCGCAGCAGCCGCTGCCGCCGCCGCCACCGCCGCGGCCGCCATGTTGTGGGCAGGGGCACCCCGCGCCGCGCCTCTCGCGAGAGCACCGCCCTCCCCGCGGGAGCGCGCGCCTACAAGGGCGCCGCAAAGATGGCGGCACCCGGCGCGGCTTCACCGGTAGAGTCATGGCCGCCCCTTCCGGTCCCTGCCCGTGTGGCCCGCCCTGGCCCGGCCCCGGCAGCCGCTTCGCCCCGCCCCGGGAGGCGCCGCCGCCGCCGCGGTCCGTCCTGGCCGCCGCCCGCCCCCTGCATCGCGCCCGCCCCTCGGTGCCGCCTCCGTTCCGCTCCGGCCTGCGGGCGGAAGGAGCCGGCGGCGCAGTGCTGAGCGGCGGCGGGAGCGGAGCCCTCCGCGCGCGGCGGCGGCTGCTTCCTCCCGCGACGAGGCCGGCGGCAGCATGGCGGCGCCGGCGCGGAGCTACAACCCCTTCGCGGAGGACGAGGAGGCCGAGGAGGAGGCGGGCGGCGAGCGGCAGCGCTCGCTGCAGCGGGAGGTGCTGCGCCGCTCGGCCGCCACGGCCGACAGCACCGCCCGCTCCCTCGCGCTGCTCTACGAGTCGGAGCGCGTCGGCGTGGCCGCCTCCGAGGTRCGTCCGGCGCGGGCCGAGCTCGCGAACGCGGAACCGTTAACGGCCGTTTGCGGTTAGTGTAGCCGTTAGAGCCCCCCCAGCGCCCTGCGGCGGCCAGGCCGGTGGCGCCGTGCCCGCCGCCTCCCGGGGATGGCTCCCTGCGYGCAGCGGAGCCGAGGCCCGGCGGCCGCGGCACCCCCCGGGCGGCTCCCGGTGCCGCCGCCGCCCCCCGGGAGCTGTGTGACGGGGGCTGAGCAGCGGCTCTGCCTGGTGCTAGAGCCCCGGCTCCGCGAGCCGGGTGGCTGCAAGTCTGAGTCTCCCAAAGCTCAGCTACAACATGCATTTCAGGGCTATTTTTTTTTTTTTTTTTTTTTTTCTCCCCCCTCTTTCTGTTAGGGTTGGGCACAGGCAGCCTTACTGCCCAAATTAATCTTGGGATTACTTTGAGATACCGTTTGTGCCACTACATTAGTAAAAAACATAGCCGTTTGTATGAGGATTTCTAAATACTGATTTTTTTGTTTTACTAATACTTACAGTTTTTATTTTACTAATACTTTACTAATACTTTTACTAATACTTACAGTATTAAGTATTAGTAATACTTACAGTATTAGTAAAAGTATTAGTAAAGTATTAGTAAAATACTTTTTAGTATTAGTAAAAAACTTTTACTAATACTTACAGTATTAGTAAAAATATTAGTAAAACAAAATCCTGTGCTGAAGCCACATACGTATGTCTGTTTCCTTTAGCTATTCTTTTTCCTAGTTATTTAGAACACAACCGTGATGTGAAAACAGCATTCCCTTATCAATTAACATATTTTCTGTGACTCTTAATGTCTGTTTGGTCACTTCCTTTTAAAAAGATATCATAAAATGTAGCTTCCCTGCATCAGCCACCCAGCACAACGTTTGTTCGAGGGCAGGAGATAGAAGTTTCAACGTGATAGAGCGCCAGTAGGGCCACTTCCTAGTTCCCATTGGTAGTAGGTGGCAGGAAACTGGGCTTAGCTGTGAGAATTTAATAGCTGCTCCTGCCTATCATTATGCTTGAGTAGCCGCTCTGGATTGAAATGCCCTGGAGGAAAATGAGTAAGTAAAAAGACTGGAAACCTTTAAAAAAATCTGTGATGAAGATGAAGGAACTCTTTGTTTTTCTTTAGAATATGTTAAAAATTTTGCAGTTTGTCCTTCTAAGTTTGTCCTTTCTTGTTGATAACATCTGTCAATAATATCTAAAAATATCTGCCAATATTTTTAGGAGCTTGTACGACAAGGAGAGGCACTGAAGCGCACGGAACAAATGGTAGATAAGATGGACCAGGACTTGAAGACTAGTCAAAGACACATAAATAGCATTAAGAGTGTTTTTGGGGGCCTGGTAAACTACTTTAAGCCCAAAACTCCCGAGGGCAAGCCAGAGCAAAATGGAACTCCTGAGTATAATGCTAATAATAGGTAAGTAAAGTAAACATTTTACTTGGGTTTGGTAATACTTTGCTTGGGACCATGCAGGAGACCTGCCTGATGTTAGAAAACTTTTGTGAGGTTTTAGGTTTTTTTTTTTTTCAGGTTTAGTTCAGATTTGGAATCAAAATTTTAGTGTGTAAGAATGTTTTCTCTTTCTTTACATTACCAGATTAAAAGAAGCGATGATGTCTAGTAAAGAGCAAGAGTCAAAATACCAAGAAAGTCATCCAAATTTAAGACGACTAGATAATTCAGGTTTGTTAATCTTGTTTTATAKTGGTGATCCATCATCTAAGCAGGGAAGATTTGCACAGTTCTGAAGTCACAAACTCTTCAGCCTGTCCAACTCTTGACTTGCATTGCTGTGTAACTCTACTGGATATTTGCATGTGACCTTTCATGACCATTAGTGCTAGGGAATTGGTTGCCTCTAAAATTCTTTGTACCCAAAACATGAAAGTATTTCTTATATGTAGATTTTTTTTTAATCCTTCTTGAAATGGATTAATGCTGTATCCACTAAAGACTGCAAAGAATCCAGTGCTTGTATTTGTACAGAGGAGACTGTGGCCAAGAATCTGCTTAATGTACAGACAACTTTATCCCATGTTTGTCAAACTGTGAACACATAAGTTCAGAGGCTGTCCTTAACTGTGGTTTGTCTTAATTGTCTTTTTCTTTCCTTGTTACTGTRAGCATAGGCTAACCTGCCATACTCAAGTTGGTATTTTATTCCCACAAGGAAATACACAGAATTTGGTTTTGTTCACCKTTCTTGCAATTAATTATTATCTGTAAATGACCTTTGTGTGCAATTTAAAGTGATTTTCTGTTATTTATTTGGTTAGCAGATTGGCATATCTTTGGAGTTGTAGATCTCTCAGTAAATAAATATTTCTTTGGTGTAAATTAGGCTCCAGAAATACAATGCTAGATAGGTAGTTTGGATAAATCTGATTGGATGTTCTGAATAGAACATTCTGAATGTTCTATTTGTTTGTGTTCTGAATGATCTGAATAGATGTTTTTTCAACTTTTTTATGATGTGCAGGAAGCATGCTTCTGATATTTTAAACTAGAACTGCAGGAGGATTTTCACAGAATTGCTCTGTGAAATTGGCRATGAATGTGTTTGCAGAAAAGCTAGAAGCTTCTCAGATGTCTGAAAACTGTTTCTTGAATCTCTTTGGCCTCTTTTTAGATGCATTAAACTGCAGTCATTAATATTAAGACTGCCCAACAGAGGGCAGAATCAACTCTCAGCTGGTTTGACCTAGGAGGACACTTAATGCTGATATAAATTACTAGTTTGGCGGGTTTTGTTTTTTCCCAACTACCCAGCAAAACTACAGAAAGTAGTTGGAAGAGACAGCTTTGATGTGCAGCAAGTTGCATATGTGCATTTTGGGAATTACTCTCTAGACAGTGATGATATACTGCTTTTGATAGTCTTTTAGCAGCTTATGTAATTAAGTGGCAACTATAGTCAGACTAATTGTTAATATTCATCTGCAACTTAACTCTTCTTTAAAGCTTTTTGTTATATGACTTCTATTTTGTCAACAGACAGTGATTTCAGCAGAGTAGATTCAATTTCTTCAGTGCAATGTGATGCTTATCCAAAGAATCAACATCTCCGAGCTTATCACCAGAAAATTGATAGCAACTTAGGTGAGTGAGAAAATTGAAGCTGTTTGACATAATCCTATATTCATTAGGTTTACCTGGCTGACCGAGTTAAAACTCGGTTACTAAATTGTACATCAGTTTGGATCCCCCCCCCAAAAAAAAAAAAATTACAGTTGTGCATAGCTTTTGAAATAAATACATCTTTTGCATAAAATAGAAGCATCAAAAAGCATTTGATATTTCATTTGTGGATCATATGCATTACTTATGTTACTTCCAAAAAACATGCAGCTGGATTTTTCTTCCTTTGTTTTGTAGTACATATACAAAATGCCTCTTTGCTTACATGTGTCACTGTTTATCTGACCTAGAAAGATGAGATTGGAAAGAAATCAGAAGGAACTAGATCAAAGAGAAATAGTCGAGCRTAAGAGTTAGTGTATGCATATCTGTTTTATTCCCGGGCCACACACAATTTACTAGTTCCAGAAACATTTGTACCAGTCAGTCATGCAATAAAGTTGTTTCCCTGTAGCTTTAATTGTGAAATCTGGAATTTGGGGATGGGATTTTTGATCTGCATTAAACAATTACTTGCTTAAATCCTTAGTATATTAATTATATCTCTGCAATATGAAAGTTATTTTCAAAGAAAAATAATTGAGGTAGTGAGAACATTGTGTGAGCTGAGCAAAGAGAAGTCATGCTCTATTTTAAAATTTATTTAAGAAAATTAAAAGAAAATTAAGAAAACTAAAACTACATTACTTAGAACTGTATAAAGAATCTAGTTTGGCTTGAAGCATTTGCACTTACTGGCAATGGAAAGAAAAGGAAATAATTACTTTCTGATGCTAATTTGCTAGCGGTCATAAAATGTTGGCACTTCCACTGTTGCAGGAACTCAAAATGTGAGCCCTTGTCACTAAGGTTTTCTAACTGAAGCTTTTAGAGAAGGATCTTGGTGGCGTCGGTTTAAACAGCGCACTCCATGCAGCTTCGAGTCCTTACGCTTTCTTTGTGTATTGGCAGATGAGATGTCTTCGGGGCTGAGCCGCCTGAAAAACCTCGCTCTTGGTCTGCAGACAGAAATACAGGAGCAGGATGATATGCTCGATCGGCTAACTAAAAAAGTAGAGACTTTGGATATCAACATTGCAAACACTGATAAAAGAGTCCGACAGCTCTAAAGGGTTCATAGAAATTTTTTCTTCAGCGTCAGTTGGCTTCTTGGCTGTCCTRTCTCATCAGGTCTCTCTCAAAAAAATCTTGGGTAACATCTCTCTCTTTCCTGGTATGTCATTGATTTTGTTGCCATTAAAATTACGTAATCTTATATGCAGCATAATACCATAAGTTTTTTCCTAATGTACATGGAAAAAGTGCATGTTGAGTAAAATCTTCAAGCACTTGATAAATGCCTTTGTCTTGGATATCCTGTTCACTGCCATTACTGTGTTTCATGTGCGTGGAGGAATTGGCAGTCCACGGTGCTTACGTGTCGTGGCCAAAGAGCTGTGATGAGAAAATGAACTACATTTTGCCTCTGTTTTGGGGAGGGGGTGAAGGGCAACAGAATGTGTTTCTTGGTTCAGAACAAATGTTGCTAATTCTGTTTACCTACAGCTGTTCTAAATTCTGAAAAAAATAATGGTGGTTTCCAGCTGTAAAAATATTCCTAAGTGACTGCCTTCTGGCGTTTCTGGGGATTATGGAACAAACTGTTCTGTGGAAGTTGTAAAATATCAAGGGTGTCAGGCAGCAATGATAATGTCCTGTACTTGTTCCATTTCCTAGGATGACTTTTCCAAAACGCTAGATCCATAAACTATAGTGTCAAATTCTTTTCTTTACAGTATTTTCATGAAGATTGGTACAAGAAATGTTGATCACAGTGACCCCAAAAGTTAGAACAGATATGTCCAAGTCTCTGTTTTTCCGTCTAAAATCTCCTTTCATATACATGGGCTCCTCCTGCTTTTTCAGTGTCTGCCATTTCTCAGCCTCCTCAGTTAAGTGTTTATTTGGAGAATAGTTTCCATTTTTAAAAAATGGAGATTTGGATTGATTTTGTATGAGTTTGTAGGAGATAGTTCCTTAATTTAATATTTATTTCAAACAAAGACAGGGAGTAAAGAGATGCTATAGTCTTTAATGCCAGTGTTTTTAGGAAACTCAGCTATGAATCACATATTTAAAGACTGACTTTAGCAGGTACAAAAAGTTCCTGCAGCTGATGAAAAGTTCAGCAATTCAAGTCTTCCAGATACAAGTTGGACCTCCCAATTTGTTTAATTCTTTCATAGATACCACGGTATCACAGTAGGGACCTGGGTCAGTATTAGAACACTCACTATCAACAAATGACTATAAAATGAGACCTAAGAAATCTGAGCCATTCTTGTTTTACTAGGTTTCATGGAAGTTCTCTGTAGAAAAAAGTAAATCACTAAAAATAGCTTCACTTGGATATCGTATGATGGAAAAATAATGATTCCTGGAATTACTAGCAAAGTAAAGTTATAAAGTAGGTTTAAGGCAAGTCTATGTTTTGCCTTACCCTACTGATATAATTGATTCAGCCCGTAAAAAAGGCTGTGACTTGCAATGACATTAAAAATATGAGATCTTTGGAATATCTTTGGTAGCTTTTCAATCTTCGCTATCATGTGTATTCACTTCAAAGACTGAAAAAGTCTGTTAATGTCAATATATCATCTACTCTGGTGGGTCTATAGTTAATTCTCTTTTACTCTGCCATGGTATTCAGAAATCATATGATACCTCAAAAAGGATGATGCATTTCTTTAATAGATGGAATGGATTATTAGCATTCAGAAATTTAAGTTAAGAAACTGAARTACCTTAGTGGAATAAGGTTAAATTTTCCTTTAAGGTTAATTTAGCTTTATTAAGGTTAAATTTTCATTGCACCTGTTTTAATTTCTTATTTGACTGTCTCCTTTTTAATTAAAAAGGTAAAAAGGGTTTTTTTTGTCACTTTATTGTTTACCCTACTGCTGATTACAGGCACATTTGTTTTTAAGAAGAAGACTTGTAAATTCTGTCCATAACAGAGAATTAAAAGGAAAAAAAAATCCCCAGTAATTAATGACACTCCTTTTTCAAAGTAAGACTGTGGTGGCTGGGATGTAGGTTGACATTTTCTCAAGTAAGTTATAGTTAACAGAATGAGAAATAAAGCTGGAAAATCTAGCTCTGTTATATGTAATGAAGAAAAATGTACAGTTTGAAGCCAAGCAAATATCCCAATTGATTTAAGAGTGAAATATATCACTTCTTTGATGTAAGCTCTTCCATTTTTTTAAGTCTATATTTTTTCACATACCTGACTGTTTTCTTGATCAACCATTTAGTTACATCAGCCTTACTAGAAGTTTCCTGTATCCTGGTTAGATGTCTTTGATGCTTTTAAAAAGCAGACAGAGAAGGGGAATTAAAAATCTTTCTGCTTCGAGTGCCCCATGATCAAAGCAGAGTGGAAAACCAGGAATTCAGCCACGTGGAAGTTTWTACAAAGCTCTAATTTCTCTTCACTTCTAATAATTCCATTCACTGTTTCAGTGAGTAACATATGCCTTTATTTTCTCACTACTTGGCCTTTCCTGCCCTATGTACTACTTTTGTTTAGTAGCCTTGTTTTAGAAGATTACTTTGCATATCAGCTTGCTTTCATGAGAATAAAGATTTTACATGGGCATAAATTATCTGATGCAAAGTGAATTCCCTTTCTATTCTCAGCTTTCATAAAAATGCTTTATACTTTCCGCTACTAAAGAATGTAAGTCTAACTGATATGAAGACACAAATTATTTTATAATGGTGATTTTCTTTTTTCTGGCTAGAATGACTCTGCTCCTTTCAGAAAGGGGAATCTATAATGAGAGAGAAAAAAAAAGATTGTTTGCCTTTCCAGGAAGTTTCATCTTACAGATGTTACTGAGAATTCTTTTTAGCTTTCCTTTTAGTTCCTGAGATACAGTTTTATTTCTTGTTGGATACCAGTGAAAAATTTATCCCTTGTTAGAGACAGGACTTGCAGAAGAAACTGAATTTTCACTGAACTGGTAAATTCATGATTTAAACCAACTGTTCTGCATAAATAGACATGTTGGCATAGGAATCACTGTTCTTATAGCCAAATAGCTCTGATTAATGTTGTTCTTGTCGGCTTGTGTAGAAGTTTTAATATTAAGAATAATATAGCAAAAAGAAAATCCTGTTGTTTTCTTTGTAGAATGAAATTTTCTTTAAACACCTGCTAATAAATTTGGAAGAGGTATAAAATACAGAGAAAGGACATACCCTTCCCAACCATACCCATCTTATTATCTATTATAAGATATGTATTATCTATAGTAATCTATACTCTAAAAGCAGGAGGATGGAAGAGAATGGAGGAGCAGTTACTGGCTACTAGTCTTGTATGTGTAGTTAATTATAAATTTCTTGAGCATTGAATTAAATATGGTAACAAATGATATTGTGTAGCTGAATTTTAGTCTGTGCTGAACTGTATTGGCCTAAAGAATCATTGGGATGCTGTGTATTGTAGTATGAAGGCGTAGCATGCGTGCCATCCAAAATTTCTAGGAGGAACTACTGTTTTTACTCAGGTTATATACAAAATGCTGTCTTTTTGAATCTGGCCTTTCCCTGAAAGCATTTTTTTTGTTAGCTTTTTTTTAATATGTGAAATTTATCTGAAATATTTTGCTGCCTAGTAGCTTTTGTGATGTGTTTGTGATTTGTTAAATGGTGAAATAGAACATACTTTCCAACCACATTGCCTTCAAAACAGATGGACTTTTGTAGGCACTTACACAAGAATGTTGTGTGGAGGAGGTGTATTTGGCTTTTAAACTTGCGGAGCTTATCGTCAGAATCACAGGTAGTAATTATTTGTGTATATGGCTTTTTTAAATAATTCTTCAATTATATGTTACTCAGAAATAACACTTTTTATACAAGTCAGATTGCAATATCTTTTTCTCATATTTAAATGTTAAACTGGACTGTAGTTCATCAATTTAGAATATTGAGTGCAATGAGTGCTGAATAGTTACAYGGTCAATAAAGGTGCTTTTTGGTCATGGAGAGTTTTTGCTTTTATTTCCCATTATTCTTAAAAATATAATTACTTGACTCTTCTACATAGTAAGATTTGTTAAAATGGTAGACATAGTCTTATATTTAATTTTTGTGCTAGTTAGATCAGAATTAGTTTGCAAGCGGTGATTGTTTCTTGTGAATAAAATAAGGTGTTAAATTTCTGATTGAATATCTACTTGATTTTTGAGTTGATTATCCTGAAATKTAACTTATGATAAAATAATCCAAGATATTGTTTAAAGAAGTACCTTTTCATGGTCCTTGTGTCTATGAGGAATACCATTAATTGAAAATACACCTGGAAAAATGTAGAAAGGAGGGCAGACTTAGAAATAAGGCCAGTTCTATCTTGAAGGCTTAAAAGCAATGGTCCTGTGTGGTCTTAAGTTTGGGAATGTCAAAAGTCTGCAGAATGCCCTAACCTCTAGTTGGACCTGTATGTGACTGGAGAGAAATGGGATCTGAATTTGGGAGGGTTAAGAGTGTGCAATGAAGTTTAATTATCTTATTTTCTTCTTCATGCTGATCAGGCAGTCGGCCCTTCTGTGCTTTCTCAAGGCCTTGCTCGATTACAACACAGACCCCGCRTTGCTGGGAAGCGGGAGAGGAAGGGGAGCCTAAAGGAAGGCTGCTTGTGTAAGGGTGCAGCAACGGGAGAGCAGGATCCCAACGCGCCTGCCTAGCTCTCCTTCTCTCTCCACCTCCAAGTAGAGGTTTGGTTGCTTTGCTTCTGGAAGGAAGAAGTTCCACAATTGTTATCTCCTTTTGGTACAGGGCTGGCTTGTTTGCTTCTGCAGAAATATTTTATGGACTCCCAGAATGGGAAAATAGAGGGAACAACTGCCAGGACTGGAGGCTCGGTAAGGCTTGCTGGAGAGGAAGCAGGGAGGTATCCCAGGGCAAACAAGACTGCCAGGTCTGGAAGATCCCTGCCTGCCAGGCGGGGCTTTCTAAATACAGCGGTGTTGGAGCCCTGCCTCGGCTATAAAAAGTCCAGATGGGCTGTGACTTTGCTGTTGGTGAGGCAGAACCTTCTAGCAAGTGCTCCTATCTCTATCTGCGGATGTTTTGGAGTAAACAGCTGACCTATTTGGCATCTTAATCCTCAAGGATTCTTCTTTTTCCTCCATGTTAATTGTAAAACTGTTCTTTCYTGTTGATGGATATAGTTCATAAGACATTTTTGCCCAGTTTTGTTGTGTCATTTTAGCCTTCCAAGGTCAGCTGGGTTAAGCTGGGATATTTTCTTGCTCTGATTCATACTAATAATATTTGTAAAGTCAGGTCTTGATCACCTTGCTCGACTGTCCTGTTCTGTGCATTGCCTTGTGTCAGGATTGGCCCGTGTCTTTGCTGCTCGGCCCTGCGGTCCTCTTGGATGACAATGGCAGGATGTCCCTTCCCGCTCCGAACGCTCCCGAGCCAGGGAGTTGGCCAGCAGGCTCCAGCAGTGCCACAGGGACACTAAGGTTACAAAGCACCACGTTGGAAAGGAAAGGTTACAATGTGATCGCATCTAGGTGCGTGAGGAGCTTCGTGAGGCAGCCGTAGCATCACTCTGTGTTTTGCCTCCTGCAGTAGTGGGATGAGCAGTGTGGAATGTCCAAGGACCTTTTACTTGCTACGTGTTTTTTCTTGAAAGCCAGAAGATCTTAAAAGGCAGGAATTTGATGGAGATCCTGAGACAATTCTAGATCCAAAGGTCTGCAGCCTTCTGCCCTGAAAATATTTGAGCTGCTAACACTGCCGTGGAGGAGATGCAGGAACATCGTTTTACCTGTCTCATTTTACGTTGTTTTACAAACTGCTCACGTGTCTAACACATTCCCAGTGCTGCATGTGGCAACACGCATAGGCAGGAGCTAGCAGCTTTGGAATGTGCTAATCCCTAGCCCCCTCTTTGGGATTATCCTCCCTCACTGCATGCACACAAGACCTCCTGTGGCCTCCTGCCCCTGCATCCAGGTGTTCCACAGGCCTGGGGAGAAGATGCTGATCAGAAGTTACTGTGTCATGATGCAGAGAGAAGGATTTTCTGTATTTCTCTTTCCTAAAGAACAAGGTTTTGGTATTTCCAGTGATGTGTTAATTTTCTGTGGCATGTGTTTAGCAAGGGCTAATGAACTAAAGCTAAACTGCAACAGTAAGTGAAGTCCAGGTGGAAGAGTCCTGGTGGGCCAGGTCCTCTTATGAACACACCAACCTTCCTAATCCATGGGCTGACTCGAGCGTGCTGTGAGCTGCCGTTGGTGACACGGCAGAAGAAGCCAAGCTCCCAGGAGGCGTAAAGTGGATTTATAGCTGCAGAGGTGCAGGCTACTCTCTCCTGATGAGGCGGCAGTGCCTTCCCAGCACCGCACAACCTTTGTGCTGAATCATAGTAGCAAACACTGAGCCGAGATTCCTCTGCTTTGAGCGCGTGCGCTCGYCTCGCTGCTCGCCTGCCTGGGTGCTGGGAAGCCTCCTCCCACGCCRGGGCTGTTTGCAGACATCGCTGCATTGCAGGCTGGCTCTCCTACGTCTCTCTTCRCTACTGACCCTGAAAAGGTGTTTTAAGTCCTGCAGTTTTCCCTAGCCGCATCCCTCAGCAATATCGTGTGCTGGCCAAGCCACATATTGGTGACTGAAATGTGTATGATTTAATAGCTTCCCTGGCACGCTGTTTCCAAAACATGTGGCAGGAAAAAAAAAAAAAAAAAGGAGGATTTTCCATCTCCAGGTGTTTGTTATTGGCTCTGTCCCTGGTCTTGAGCCTTGTAAAGGGCTCTTTGTTGAGCTGCTTTTCAGCTGCTTGCCCAGATCCGTGCCTGGGAAGGGCAGTGGGGTCAGATSGTCCTTGCTGCAGCTGCAGGTAGTGGGAAGGAAGATTGCTCTTTGCACTGCGATGCACCTGCCTCTTCTGGCATTTCTACCTTCAGATTCCTGGGGCTGTTTTCCTTTCCACAGTCTCCATAAGCTAAGTAAACACTTTTTTCAAGGGCCTGCTTTACCGACCAGCATCTAAGATGCAGTATTCAAGCCTCGATCCCTCCTCAGGCTAACGCACGTCGCACTGGGCTTGTGGTGGCAACCTGCAGGAGCCCCAGGGCTTCCCTGGGGTGTCCGGGGTGGGATGGGCAGGACAGCCAAAGCRACTCTTCCCCGTGGCTCCCAGCAGCCATCCTGGTTTTCCATGTGTCACTGGCCACAGGAGCAAGAGCAGAGCCGTAGGGTCTGGGTGCAGGTGGTCTTGGCCTGTGTCGCTCTATTTGCAGTCAAAAAAAATGCAAGAAGCCATGGCCTTAATTCAGTAAGATACTTAAATATGTGCCTGCTCCTTAAGCACACCGAGAGAAGGATTAAAATCATTAAGTCTCCTCACATCCTTGCGTTTAGGCATTTGGGGACAGACTTGCTGAGTCAGCCTGGGTATGTTAATTATGTGCAGGAAACTCCAGGGAATCTGCTTCCCTGGGACTCGAGTGTCGACTATGAGGCCAAGTCCTGTAAGAATAACTTGCATTTGGTATTYGAAAGAGAACCATTAATTCCTACTCACTCCTCCTTGGAGTGGTGATAAATAATGGATTTGGAGAACACTTGGACTGAGAGAGAGGTTAAGCATCTGCAGCCACCTTGTATTTGTGCCTGGAAGTGCTCGAAATGGACAGTCTTAGCAAAGAAAAGGAGAGCTTCTGGTCACAGTGTTGGATGCTCAGTTATTTAATTGTTCAGTTAGCTATAGGCCRCGTAGAATAACATAATCTTGTGTTATTTTGACTGTCAGTACCCGCTCTGCCATTTTAGTACCTCTGTCTGTAGTACTGGGTGCCTGGAAGGGTRCCGAGTAAAGGAGACTCAGAGTGAACAGCCAGGAGGGGTAATATATAAATCTGGTGGAAAGAGGCAATTAAAGGCAGTGCTGCAATAGAATGGAAAATAGACAATATTGAACCTTACCAGAAATACCAACATAAACAGCAGCTACTGTACAGTGCCTCCGAAGTGAACTCCATTGCTTTAAATAGCTGCATTCTGCAGAAAGCAGACGGGTTGTGAAATGTGTGAGCAGGCTTCCAGAAAACAGCTTTATCCGCAGAAACACAGCCGTGGTGATGCTCCCCATCTCCTCCGAGCACAAAAGGGGCACACAAGACTTCTTCTCACCRCTGTTGTATTTACACCATGCAGAAAGGACCTGGAAAGTTGGATCAAGTGCAAGCCAAAAATAACTGAAAGTAATACTGCCTGTCAGGTACAACTGTGAGTGGAGATGAATAGAAAGGAAGTGATATCTGAGATAAGCGGTTTGATAAACGCCAGCTTGCAGCTTYGTAACCCGACAGCTGAGCAGATAGCACACCAATCAAATGAACCCAGAAACCCAATTAATTAGAGAGGGCCTGAGCTCTCCCCACGCTCAGCAGCAAGTGCAACGGCTTCGTTTCTCACCACGAGGCCTGGCAAGGGCTATGCCAAAACGTTCAGCTTTGTGTTATAACTGCAGATGTGCTTGAATGCAGGGCCTGGGTCTGAGCACACCTCGTTTTGAGGCAGTTGGTCTAGAAGCTCAGCAYCGTCTCCTGCCTTTCCCCAGACATTCGTGTGTCTATTTGTTCCCTTCCTTTGTGAATGAGTGTGATCAGCCGCGGGCCAGGCATTGCACACTAAGCTCCTGTTTGCCGACACAAACTTGGCAATCGGCRCTAGCTGAGCATAGT